AAGCATAGCTTCAAACAACATAACTGCTTGATGCCCTGCCGGGAAACAAGGTCTCAAACAAACAAGCCTGGCAGGTGGCACCCAGGAGTCAAATAGTTGTTTCTGAGTGTTGCCTTCCGGAAGAATGCAAGGGTAAGAGATGGAATGTCAAACAACAATAAACTCTGTAGCAAAACACCATTGACTTTCTTCATAAGACAGAGAGGATACACAGGATACAGAAAGTTGTTTCATGTTGACTGTTGAAAATAATCCCAGCATGCACTGATATAACCATCTGTATATACTGCAATTTCACCATGTGTAAAAATGCCAAGAGAAGGGAGCGTTCAATGACAAATTAGATCAGAAAACACCATAGTCTCCAAAGTATGGCTAGAATTTTTAAAGTATATACAGGTAAAGAATTTCTCTCTCTTGTTTTTTTATGAAATACCTGTTTTGAAGGAGACACCATGCTTCTCCAGCCCTCTAGTGTGGTCACTGGTACCACCTGTGGAGGTTTTCATCTTCATCAGAACTTTGTAATGAGCATCTTCTAACTGGGGCCTGGGTATGGAAGAAATCAGATGTTTTAAAATTCTGCTGGTAATGCTACTTGAAGACCTCATCTGATATTTTCCTTACCGTTCCTTAATTTTTCTTTTCTGTATCTGCTAAAGTTCAAATTTTGAGGCTGTCACCAGATTGGAGAAATCAGTCCAGTATCAAATTTCATAGAAGGTCATTGTTCAATGACCTGCTGACTCACTTTCTAGTATGATTTTCACACCATTCTGTACTTTATTTGCTAAAAATATTAACAATTTTCACAGTATTATCCAGTTCTTCTGTTATAAGACTATATCTCATTATCGTCGTCTGGGCTAGCCAACCAATCTATTTATAGTTTGACTGTTTTCTATGTTTTCTTCTTCTTTGATTCTGCCTGTATTATTAAACTAATACAAAAGATGAATCACACAGTACGGCTTACTTAGGTTGCAAAAACCATTGTGTAGGCCTTCTCTAAGGCAATGTTTCCAATTCTCTTAAGTATTTATGATCTGACTCTTACCTGCTTATCTATCTAAAGGCCCCATGTTGATGAAACTCTGTGGCTTACACTTTCTTCTTTGCCTTACATAGTGGCACAAATAATATAGGACAGAATAAGTTCTCTTTTTTATGTTTCTTTGAAAACTCAGCAATACTTCTTAGAATAAATGATGAAATATTCCTAGAAGCAATTTTCCAGCTTAGGCATCATGGAGTCACACACATGATAGCAGGTAAACATCTCTACTGTTGTACAGGTGTGCCTGAGATAAAATGCTTTATTAAAATCTTTCAAATACTCAGGCTGGAATTATGGCTTGGTGGTAGAGTGACTGCTTAACATGCATGAAGTCTTGGCTTCCAACTCCAGTACAGCAAATGATAATAAATTAATAAATAGAATCAAATACTTTAGTACAAATGACAATTTTCCAAGTGCTCATAATTTTCTATGATATTTGTATATCTTTTATGGTAGAAATCTACTTCTCAAAAGTACTCAGGAAGCTGAAAAGATGGCTCAGCAGTTAAAAGCATCAGCTGCTCTTGCAGATGACTAGGGTTTGAGTTCCACCATTCACATGGTGGATAACTACCGTCCATAAATCCAGTTCCAGGGGATCTGATAGACACCCTCTTCTGATCTTCATGGGCACTGCACAACATGGGTGCACTTACTTGCATGCAGGCAATACATTCATACACATAAAACTAAAATACTTTTTAAAGTGTTCCAATCTGTCTGTATCTAAGATCTTCTATAGTTCATCATCCAACACTAAGTATGTTAACAATGAAAGTGACTGCAGTGAATTAAACAAATACAAGGTAGGATTGTCACAGGAAAATTAATATCTACCTTTCTACAGTGTAAAATGTATTACCTTTAATTTCATATCACATAATATCAACTTAGAATTTTGGGCACTGTAGTATAAAACCCATATTTCATTTATTCATTCTTAGCTACATGGTAAGATTTTCATAAATGAAAATAGATACACAATGTTCTTTGATTTTCTGCCTGTCCTGTCCTGGTTTTTCTTCTTAGATTCAAGTGATATTCCAAAATATGTACATATAATAAGGGTTTTTACAAAGATCAAAATCTAAGAAACTATCTTTGATTATAGCAGGGCAATATTTATTCCAAGAGTCTAATAATTACATGATCACAACCTGTGTAATTTACATTGTATATTATTTGCCTTTCTCATTGCTATGACAAAATTCCTGAGGAAAGCAACCGAGTGAACATTTTATTGTCTCATGGTTGGAGGCAGATTCCATCATGGTGGGGAAATGTGAACAGGCTGGTCACACTGCATCTGTAATCAAGAGCTATGTAGAAATGAATTTTGGTACTTAGCTTTCTTTCTCTGTTTATCCAAGTCGGGACCATACCTCCTGGATTATATCACCCACATTCAGGGTGAGTCTTCTCTTTTCAGTTAAATTCTCCTGGAAACACACTGAAAGATACCTAGAAGTTTTTCTTTTCTTCCACCTATGGTAAGTCCAAATCCAATCAAGTTGGCAATGTAGACTAGTGATCCATCCCTTATCAACTTAACATAAACACAGAAATTTACTTCACAAAACTCTGCTGAAGGCTCTTGAAGTCTCATAAAACAAAATGCATTTAGTCCATATTTAAAGCCTCCAACAATGATTAAAATTCCTAATGCTAAACAAAAGTCCAAAGTCTTTTTAGAGATTTAAGGTCATGCCTCAACTGTGAGCCCCTATCAAATAAAATTAGACAAATTATATTCTTCTAATATGCAATAGCACAGAGCAAAATATTCAAAAGATGAATAGTGGGTCTAACACAAGGAAAACCAAACAAGAACAAGGAAAAATCTCAGCAGAACCAACATCAAATCCTGAAGCTCCCTGTGTGTTGTTTGGAAACCCTAATGGAATCATCAGTGTTCTAAACAGATTGGCTATCCCAGCTCCTCCATTTACGTCACATGAAGCACATATATCCTCTGTCTTAGGCTGAGCCTCAGCATTCATCTCTCTCTGCTTCTGACTACAGACTGCAGTGTGACCAGCAGCCTCACACTTTTGAATCTAGCTTTCCTTGGTGAGTGGACCACAGTCCTGGGATCTCTAATGTTCTGGCATCACCTCTGGAACTCAAGCTTCACTTTCACAATTTCACACAATGACATTTCAGGGCCTGATACAAATGTTCTGCAGTAGTTACTTTTCTCCTTACTGTGATTTATCACAGTAAGCACTTGACTCAAGCAACTGAAGGAAGAAAGGGCTTATTTTAGCAGGCCATGCAAGGCAGCAGCAACGTGAAGCAGCTCTTCATACTGCAGTCTGTAGTCAGGAAGCAGAGAGAGGTGAATGCTGGTACTCAGTTAACTTCTTTTAATTCATTCTGGGACCTCTTCTATCTACCCATCAATTGTGCTGTCTGTATTTATGGAAGATACTCTCTCTTCAGTTAAGTCTTTCTGGGAATTCCCACATAATCTGTCTACAGTTGTGTATCCATGGTGATTCTAAATCCGATCTATTTGAAAATGAAGATTAACCATCACCTATGAATATGATTGAGACAAGATTGGTTTCCCATCATGTATTTTATTTCTTCCTTTTGTATTCTGATAGAAGACTCTGAAAGACAGTTCACCTAAAAAAACCCAAACTCATTCATGTAATTGTATTTAAAATCAGAGAAAAATCAGAAATCTATTTCATAATAAGTTTTAACTATTATTTCCAGTGCACATTACTAGTGAAGAATTTATTTGCCAATATCTCTATATAAAAAGTTCAGTGTCTTTTCAATCACATTAGGCAGATTGTAGTAGATATTTAACAATCAATGACTGTAAGGTATATATATCTATCTTGGGCATAAGGAAACTAGTAGTATATTATTGATCAGATTTTGTAATTTTTTCATCTGAAGCCATTTCCCATGAATTGATAGACTGTCAGTTTCTTCATGGTAAACAACTCCTCGGACCCGTGATTCACCCTGCTGGTGCACAACACAGGTAATTACAATCCACACAGAAAGACACTCCTACCAAAACATTCTAGCATTCTTGGTAGGAAGACTCTTACTATAAAATCAACACACACACACACACAAAAATCTGATTAGCTCAAATTTTATGTCTTTGCAAGAATTTGGAATGAAATCTAGTCTGTCTATCTAGAATCTTTCCATTAAGGGAGATGAACTCTTCCTCTCCCAGCAGTAATCAGCTGTCAATAGCTCTTTGGCTAAGGTTGGGGTCTTCTGCCCATTTCTCCAGTTACGTGCTTGGTTTTCCTTGACTGAATTTGCATGAGTGTTGTGCATGCTGACACCATTGCTGTAAATTAATATGAGCAAGGTCCTAGAGGCCTGGAAGACTGTTTCCTTATGGTAATACACCAACCTTGACACTTACAATATTTCTGTCCCTTCTTCCACAATAGTTCCTGTTCTTTAAAGGAGTGGCTCTAGAAAGGCTGACTAAACTCCAGTGGATGAGCTTGCACGGAGGGACACCTTGGATACAAACCTGATTTGATAGGCAAGGCATGTAATTTGGTGGGGCAGGATACAGGAGGATGTGGATCAGGAGGGGCAGAAAGATGTTTAAGCTGTTTTATATGAGATGCATAAAAACTCAATAAAAAATAGAGATTGAAAAAAGAAATTTAGAATTGATTATAGGCCAGGTGCTTATCATTCCTGAAAGAATAGTGGGTAGGTCTGTCACAAAATATTTACTGTATTAAGAACAAGGCATCATCTCTTGGTCAATATTACATTCTCTGTGTCACCCACCGAAGATATGAATGAGCAAATCCATTATTTGTATTCATGATCTGAGAACTAAGAAAAGTAAATTTTCGTATTTTTCAACTAGGCAGACACAGTAAAAATCAGTAAAACTGGTTGTATCACTAAATTGATTTTATTATGCTTAATTCCCTTCACTTTTATTAATGGATTACAAGTCCAAGATTGTTTTCTCAACAAAATTCATATTTGAAGGAAAGTCATTTCTTTCCAAATGTCTGTCCCACTGTACCTTGCTGTATGAATATGCAGATCAGTAATGCATCCACTGCTTTAAATGTTGAACAAACCTGCAATCCAAACACACAGACCCTCAAAAAAGTGTTGTTTTAACTCCTATCATTTTTCCAAAATAGTAAGAACTTACCTTCTTAGATATCAAGACTCTATGCCTGAGATTACAAGACATAAAACAATAGAAATTAAATTTGGTTTCCCATAGTTGTTTTCAGCCTATAATGCATTAATTAATATATTTAACCCCTTTCAAGGAAACAATGCTTTTAAACCAGTTTCGTGGGTAATATTTAACAATA